TCTAGCAAACCAGATTAAGATGGAAGAACTAAAACTACTCTAGCAAACTACAGTTAAAGTTAATATAATTACAGGTTGGGAACTCACTTAGGTATGATTCCCCCTAGCCACTAGCCAGATTAACGATTGATGATCTCTAACTTGTTTCCCTTTCATTCACAATGCGGAGAATCCTTGACTAGACCTTGAATCTCGACTAAAGTAACAAGGCCCTCTTAAGTCAATTGCCTAGAGGGACGTATCCTTCTCTAGAACAACCAATCAAGGCGTTCTGAACTAGATTCCCTCTATCAAATGAGGTTCTCAATCGATACAAAGCATTGAATCAACCCTCGACTAAAGCAATCGATCCAATACTATCAATCTATGATGCTCTATTGACCTAATCAGGTATTCGCTCTCATAGAATCAAAGCAGAATCAATAATCTCGACTAAAGAAGAATTGAATCATGAAAACATGCATAGATTGAATATGAACTCAAGATTATCAAGTAAGAGTACTCATACAGTCATCCAATCAAACAAACTTAGCTAGGGTTCCTCAAAACCTAAGTGAAGGGAAGTTACTCCATAGAGAAGAGAGAGACTGCAGTAAGAATCTTCAGATGATCAGTCTTCAAGTCCGGGCTTGTTCCTCGAGCTTCCAAGGTGAAGAAATCCTCCGATTCCACTCTTAGAATGCCCTCAAATCGCCCTCAAATCGCCCTCTCTTTCTATGGTTCGTCCCTTGGGTGTTTGGGATCCAAAATCCAGCTCTCCCTTGCAAAAACGCACAAAACAGGCTTTTAACAGCCTGCGTTCGCAATCCCCGGTCAGAATACCCGGTTGGGTATTAAGGGAACCGGTCGGGTATCAACAAAATGCTCCGAGTCACTATTCTAGGCAAAAGGGAAAATACCCGGTCAGGTATTTTTAGTACCGGTCGGGTATTTTTGGTTCACGACTGGGGGGCCTTCTGATGCTGCCAAAAATCCCCTATCAGGTGGCCAAAAATACCCGGTAGGGTATTATGGTCGGGTATTTTGCAGTTCCGGGTCCCCTATCTTTGATTCTTCGTTTCTCCCTCGTTCGGACTCCAAATCAGGTGCCGTTTGATCCCAGACGCTCGTAGTCTCGTCCTCTTTCTTCTCATGACAAGATTACATGATTATATGGTCACAAACTGAGGTAGAAATCCATTCTTCTTCAAGTCATACCTGAGTTTCTCCCTCCGAGTCGCCAATTGATCTCTGATTGACTTGAAACTTGCGCCTACGCTTCACTTTATGTGCTAGGACCTGAAATGTGATAAAGGAACACAACCTAGCTTAAAATAGGCCAAAGAAGCGATAATGCAAGCTTAAATGATCAAGAAACAAAGGGGAAAGCATGTGCAAATATCGAGTCATCAGTCATCCATTCTCCATATGCCTTCTTCTGTTGGTCAGCAGGTGGAGGTGTGGGTGATGTTGCCTTCGGAGCCTCCGGGGTTGTTTTCCTCAACGTCGGGCAGGTGGTTTTTGAGTGGCCAAATACCCCACACTCTATACAGATATTGTGGAGCCCCTCGTATTCCATGTAGTATGTTTTGCCCTCTATTTTGTATTGTCCCAAAAGAGGTTTTGTTAGGTCAACCTCCATACAAACTCGGCCAAATTTGGTCCTAGATCCTGACATCGTTACTCGGTCTACACGAACCAGACAATCAATCCGCGTAGCTATTCTTTCCACAGCTTCGCGATTGATGAACTCTATAGGTAGCTCTGGCATACGAGCCCATACAAGGGTAGTAGCTACCTCCGCAAGCTTAGTTGAAACCCTTCCTCCATGGCCTCACAGTGATATAATGGTTGCCGATAATCCATGGGCCACCCATGGCCGCCTGTTCGTAGTCTATCTGGCTTCTGAAGCGAACGACATAAAAGCCATAGGATAGATTGGATATCTGTATGTTTCCCGTCTTTGCCTATAGCTTTTCCAGGTGTTTTGACACGATGGGGAACGGGAACATGTGTCCCAATACTTTGAAGATGATGGTCGAGCGTCGGGTTCTTCGATATCTCTATTTCTCCAAGGCTTTGAATGCAACCGTTGGGCATTTCAGATCATCAACATTCGGTATTTCATCGTACAGGTCAGCCTCTCTCATTGCTTCGACGACATCCTCTGAGTAAGATTCAACTACATACCACTCGTCCTCGCTGACGATCGTCGAGAACAACTTCTGTGATCTCGCCCCCAGGCTGATGTCCAGGGGTTAGCTTTCTGGTTACCAGCCTTGTTTGTGTCATTCTCCTGCCCGCTAGGGTTTTTCATCTCAGACTGCTCCTCTGTCATCGACTACGATATGAAAAGGGGGTTGGCACTCATGGGTTTCACTCTCTTCTTCGGCTGTTAGGTCTCTTTCTCGCCTTTGTTGTTGGGGGACGACGACGCGGTAGGACGACGACATTGTTACGCACTGGGATCCGACAGTTGGTATGCTGGAGGATGATTTCTGGCTCCAAGTCGGCTATGCCGACGATTAACGCCACTAGGGTTTGCGTTATACTTTGCTAGCTCAACTCCAAAAAAGTCTGAGCAAAAAATCCTTAGTAGTTAATTGATTGTTTTTTTTTCTTGTTTGCTGTAGTTGCTTTTGTTTTTGGGATTTTCTATTTTGTTATTTGTTGTCATTGTATGCGTTTGTTTATGGTTTATGTGTTTTGAAAGACAAAAAAAATACACTAGGGGTATGTTTGGATAGGTGTATATAAAATGTAATGTATTGATTATATATATTTCAAATGCTAGTATTTCAAATACATGCATATTAAATACATGTATTGGTAATTTGTTGGTATTTTAGATTTTAGATTTTTTTATTTGAATTTTGAATTTTCTTGTCACTTACTTTAAATTTTGGTACCAAATTATTTTTTCTTACAATTTAATACCTAAACTTTAAATTTTACAAAAAGGTCCACAATTTTTTGTGGTGAAATTATGTTTTGGTACCTTTATAAGTTTTTCCTTACATCATAGTACCTAAACCTTATAAATTTCACAAACTAATCCAATCTTTTGTTAGGAGGAATTTCAAATCACTATTTATTTAAATGTATTTGAAGTTGACAAGTAATACACTAAACATGTATTTGGTAATCAACCCATGAATTTGGCATAAATCCAAATATCAAATGAAGTTAACATCAAAAAAATAATTTAACATTTAGAAACTCAAATGATAAACACCAAATCCAAATCCTTATATTCAAACACACCCTTAGAGTATTAGAGTAATTATAATAAGAATTAAAGTGAAGATAATGGTTTTTAGGATGAGGAACGGAAATCCTCAATTCTTACTTTCTTAGGCTTATATGCCAAAATATGTAAGTTTATATACTCATTTAAAAAACTATTAAGTTTTTTTTTTTTTTTTGAAAGGAAAAAACTATTAAGTTGATGTAACAAACTCTAACTTTTTTTTAGAACAAACTCTAATTTATATATGAGTATGAGTACAAACTTAAATTTATGAATTAAAAATTGAATCCAACCAAACTAAATGGATATCTCTACTTATTTACTTTGTATTTGGGTTGGGTAAATCATGAATAGCAATGAGTTTGGACAAATTGTAATCCCTAAATCAAATTTAACTATTAAGAGACATCAATTACATCATCACTTTGAAAGCTCTTATTTTATGAACGTGGAGGTTGGGACTTGGGAATTGGATACAACTTTGTGGCTCCTTGTACTTAGAAGAAGATTGGGGTACATATATCGTTTAAATTCTAGAATCATTGGCGGCCAGGCCGGTCTATCATTTCTGAACATTAGGTAGGTTCCTCTCTCTGATTGGATGTCTGGATGGATATCTTTGTACTATGATTTAAACACGTCCATTTAAAAGTTTTGGATTGAAGACACGCATTCTGCTGATCTCAAGTCTCAACTGAGGGGTTTAATCCTTTGACGAGGATTCAAAGGTTCTAGACTCAGCTTATTGCAGTGTTTGCAAAATCGTGTTGTTTCGGTGGTTTAACCGGAAAAGTATTTTATTATAGTTTAAATCGGTAGGTGATTTTGAGCGGTATGAAATAGTAATCACAATTAAATTATGATGTCAGCATAAAATATCCTACTGCTAATTTTTCCAGTACAACTTTTGATAGGATTTTATTTACAATCTCTGTTTTCATAACCGAACTGGATGATAAACGTGAAAAATTAGTGGTTTAGGGTTAGTGATTAACCGTTACAAAAATGTTGGTTAACCATTGATAGAACCGTTCATGATATATAACATATAAGTCTTGCACTGTTGCACAGTACACTAATTTAAAAATAAAGTTATCATTGACCATAAACAATTTCAAATTCATATCATCACTAACATATTTAACAAATCATTCAAAATGTCTCATAAAAGAAATCATATTTTTTTAATTCAAGTTAAAAATTAAGTTGCTAATCAGTAGTGGACCATTTAAAGTCGACAACGAAGTTGGAAAATGAGAAAAGGAAGCATAAATAAAATTAATAATTTTAGTTTGATGGTCTTAGTTTATAATTTGTAGTTAAAATAATGTTACAATGGACCAGTTAAACCGTGGTGGTTCATCTAGTTTTAGGTTGAACCGTAAAAAACCGTTTGGTCCATCCGTCCTAACAATGGACCTGACCGCTTATCGTAAGTGGTTTATTGGTTCTAGTTGCCCAGCCAATCCAATTTAGTTGTTATGACAATGCTTGCAATCCTTAATCCATAATCTAAATATCTATTGACACACTGGCTTACGTAAGCATAATAACCTCCCCAGGAAGAAAACCTATTCACATGTGAATAGGGGTTCAATTCAACGAAGAACTTTGTTGACTAATGGAAGCCAAAGTCATCCTTGTCTTTCGTTCATTCATGCTCATGGACCATGGTGTATTCACTCAGAGGCCAGAGCTATAAAATATAGCAATGTCGTTAGTTGAATATCGATAAAAAAAACAATTAAACACACTGACTTTCACTTCAGACATGGAGGATTCTCATTACTATTGGTTCCTTTTGCTCATCTCCCTCGCCGTCGCCGCTCTCCTCAGATCTCTGCTAAACATTTCCTCCCCCGGCAAACCATCCCTTCCGCCGGGCCCCGCCGCCGTCCCCATCATCGGAAACCTCATATGGCTCCGCAAGCCACTCTCCGAACTGGAGTCCGTACTCCGCACTCTCCACGCCAAACACGGCCCCGCCGTCACTATCCGCATCGGCGGTCGCCCCGCCATCTACGTCGCCGACCGCACCCTCGCCCACCAAGCCTTGATCCAGAGCGGCGCCGTATTTGCCAGCCGGCCACCCGCTCCGCCCATCTCCTTCGTCACCGGCAGCAACCAGCACAGCATCAACGCCGCCCCCTACGGCCCCACGTGGCGCCTCCTCCGCCGCAACCTGACCTCCGAGATCCTCCACCCGTCGCGCGTGAGGTCCTACTCCAACGCGCGTGACTGGACGCTCCGCATCCTCAAGACCCGCCTCCTCGAATCCGGATCCGCCCAGCCGGTTCGGGCCATGGATCAGTTCCAGTACGCGATGTTCTGCCTGCTGGTGTTCATGTGCTTCGGCGACAAGCTCGACGAGAACCAGATCTCGGAGATCGAGAGGGTCGAGCGCCAGATGCTGCTCAACATCCGGAGGTTCAACGCTCTCAACTTCTGGCCGCGGCTCGGCCGGATCTTCCTCCGAAACCGGTGGTCGGAGTTTCTGCGGCTGCGGCAGGAGCAGGAGGACGTGCTGCTCCCTCTGATTCGAGCGAGAAAGGATCTCAAAGAAAGAAGACCTAATCGCCAAATCAAGGAAGACAGCCACAAAGACGACTACGTTTTAGCATACGTCGACACGCTCTTCGATTTGGAATTGCCGGAGGAGGGGAAGCGGAAGCTGACGGAGACAGAGATGGTGACTCTCTGCAACGAGTTCCTCAACGCCGGCACCGACACCACCGCGACCGCCTTGCAGTGGATAATGGCCAATTTGGTCAAATACCCAGACGTCCAAAACAAGGTTTTCGAGGAAATGAAATCCCTAATCGGCGACACAGGGCGAGGAGAAATTAGAGAAGAGGATCTGAGTAAGCTGCCGTATCTGAAGGCGGTGGTTCTAGAAGGACTCCGTCGCCACCCGCCGGGGCATTTCGTGCTGCCGCACACGGTGACGGAGGAGGTGGAGCTGGGCGGGTATTTGGTGCCGAAGAAAGCGAGGGTGAATTTCATGGTGGCGGAGATGGGTCGGGACCCGGAAGTGTGGGAGGATCCGATGGCGTTTAACCCGGAGAGGTTTGTTGGGGAGAAGACGACGACGTTTGACATAACGGGAAGCAAGGAGATCAAAATGATGCCGTTTGGGGTGGGGAGGAGGATGTGCCCTGGATATGCATTGGCTTTGCTGCATTTGGAGTATTTTGTGGCCAATTTGGTATGGAGTTTCGAGTGGAAAGCTGTGGAAGGCGACGGAGTGGATCTTTCGGAGAAGCCAGAGTTTACGGTGGTGATGAAGAATCCATTGCGGGCGCAAGTCTTCCCCAGGGGTTAAGGCTTGTATTATATTGTGTGTCTACGAACCCGTTCTATGCAACTTTTGCGTGTACCATATATTTTCAATAAAAAATAAAGATTAAATTTTATGTAGTATATATAAGGTTGTCAAACTGGTTTAAATTGTTACACAGGTTTAGCGAATTGTATGGACTGGTTAGAGTACAATGAGTTTTTTTTTCTTTTTCTGAGTGATATCAAAGGAAGAAAATAGTTAAACTTACAATTCTACCCAGGACCCCTAACAGAATCTAAAGAAGCCACCCCAAAAAATCAAAAGATTCTAGCTCTACACGAGACAAAAGCAGTGCTTTACGCGCCACTCTATGGGCAGCACTGTTGGCGGATCTAGGTACGCCCTAAACTCTATACAAACTGACAAAGAGATAAGGATCTGAAGACACTCTCGTAGCACCGGACCTCCAATCGAGTCTTCAATGACACCTTGACGAATTTGGTTGACCACCACTTCGGAATCACCTTCGACTATCACGTGGGTCAAGGATCTTGAGGTTACGATGGAGATAGCGTCTCTAAAAGCTAGAAGCTCTGCCAGATAAGGATTGACTATTCCTTGATGCTGCAGTCCGAGCACCAACACCACATGCTCTTCTGACCCACGAATACGAACAACCGGTGGCACAAACAGCTGTGTCGACGTTGATCTTCAAAAAGTCTTCTAGTGGAGGGACCCAAGTGGTGGCAGGATGATTTGGGATAAGAGAACTGCGGGGCGGAGGAGGAAGGAGAAGATTGGAAAATTCGAGGACCTGGTTGTAGAATTGTCTGGCTAGGGAACAGACATGAGGTTGGATTAATTCGAAGGTCACTTTAAACTTCCAGATTCTCCAAAGTAAACAGACGCATTGGAGAATGTGGAATGGGGAGGTCTCGGAGACCATGACATGTCGCCACCATAGACTAAAGTTAACAGTCTGGGCGGTCTCAATAAAGTTGCTCAATCCCACTAAAGTCCACAATCTGGTGGCTATGGGGCATCTGAAGAATAAATGTTCAATGCTTTCTCGATGTCTCCAGCAGACAGGGCATCGGTTGAGACAGTTGACTCCACGAGTTTGAAGGGCCACTATTGTGGGAAGTATGACTTTGAGGCGTTGTCATATGCAAAATTTGAGCTTAAGCGGGACTTGGGTATTCCAAGTCTTTTTTCAAATGGGAATTTCGAGCAATTCATTGCTGACCAATCTGTTCTAGTATCAAATTGTTGGATGATTGCATTAATTAGGGCCTTGAGATTATATTTATTTACGGAAGCCCTTTGAATACGCCACATTATGCTGGCGAAAGCAACAACCTTGAAAGGCTCTCTTTATTAGAGTTTTAAAACACTCTAACTCGTCATTAAGGAGACGATTTAAAAGCACAATTAAGGCTTTTCCGGCGCTAGCCGTTTCTGGCCATAAAGCCTTGTAACCGACTTGAAAAAAAGTGGTTACCAAATCCAATAATTATTATATTAAATGAGCATAAAGTTTTGTAACCGATTTGAGAAAAAAATGGTTACTAAACACAATAATTATTATATTAAATGAGCATAAAGCTTTGCCACCGCCTCCGCTTCTACGGGAATGAGCCTCGTTGACGGTGATGTTGCGGCCGTCAGAGGTTCTGGCCGTTCATCCCGGCGATCGCGTCCTTCGTCGACGGCAATGAGTTTGTCGATTTTAAATAAATATGTGGAGGACGTGGGAAACGGTTAACAATAAATTATTTACACCTATACATAACTTATTTAAAAACTAGATTGTGGCCCCGGCCGGTTGGCCGGATAATTCTAATTTCTTGTTAATTGTATATGTTCATCTCTTTATGACAATATAATAAAAGTTCAAAATTGTAAGGATATCAAACTTATACAATTTGGCAACTTAGTGAAAATATGAAGCTACAAAACTAAGTGTGAAATTATAATTTCAAGACAAAAGGTTAATTCCATGTGGCTAAATTTTATGAGAAAATAAATGAAACAATGTTGGATAAAGTTCAAGCTATGTTTGTTAGATTCCATAATAAAAATTAATATTGTGCTAATGCTCTTTATAGTTAGCAACCTAACCTTCGGCTTCCATATCTGATAACAAAAAATTCAAATGTATGTTCCCTTAATCAATAATTCATTTTTATGTTTTCCACATACATAATTTTATTTTTTTAATAAATATCGTATATTATCATTGTTTGAACCTGACTGAGTGTAGGAATGAGGTTCGGGGAAGAAGAAGAAGGGTCAAGGAGAGTAAGCAATGTCGATAGAGTATCGAATGAAGAACCAAGATAGGGGAGAACAAGATTGGAAGAAACAGGACTTAGAGAGAGAAGTTGATGATTATAGAAATAGAATCTCCAAAATGCCATCGCCTACCCACCGGAGTAAATGCCATATTTATAGGCTACATGGTGGTGGGTGGGTTTCATGGTGACATGACCACTGACATTACAGGGACTTAGGCCGTAACTCTACCTAGGAAAAGACGTTTAGCCCATAACTATACCTAGGACTGATGGTGACCACTTCTCGGGAGGACGCGGCGTCGTTTCCGTGATTTCCTGGTCTGGTCAACGCCTGACCCGAACGTCGCCGTTCAGTGTTCGGGCGCGGGCTATGTTCAAGGTCGCGCTGGTACTGGCGTGTACTGGCGCGCTCAGGTTGCGGTCGCGCTGCGTCAGTGCTGGCGCACCTAGTTCTTGCTGCGACGTCGTTTGAGGTATCTCTTTGACCCAACGAGATCCGAGTCATATACCCAACAATCATCTATAGAGAAACACAATATTTATTAGTCTCTTGAAAATCTATTTTTTATTGAAACCCATATCTTATTAATCTAACCTTAGTTTCTTAAGAAAAAACGAATTGGATTCAATTATGCATATGATAAAACTGATGGTATAAGAGAAGATTATGGTAATTTCTAATTCTACGTGAAATCAGAATTTTTTGTTTGCGTCAATCTTTCATTGGTGTAGTTGCAAAGTAAATAAAAAGAGGAACTAAAAAAATAAAAGGAAATAATCCTTTTATTGTCAGATGGCCTCCACCAAAAAAATGAACAGTGATTTGAATTAAAAAAAGGTGTGGCGGATGTAAATAAGTAGTGGGGTTGTAAAAAAACAAAATAATTAAAAAAAATTGACGTGTACAATAAAATAATAATGGCGCCAGCAAGTTTAGGAGAACGGAACAGATATGGAATTGACAAACTCGTCCCTCCACAATATGCGGTTTGGGCAGCTGATGTGGCGAAATTTTTTTGCTCACATTGTTTTATATTTATTTGTAGATTTATAGATAACTTCTTTACAATATATATCCCTGTTCAAATAAACCACAACATTACAAACAAAATGACAAATCTTCATATTGAAATGGAGTTAATGGAATATTTGGCCCCTAAACTCAATGATTTTCTATCATTAGTTCATTACCCCTCTACTATTTTTTCCCAACATAGTCCTCAAATATAAACACTTTCTTGTTGTGGCTCTTGCGGTTAAAAGAATGTTAATTTTTTCTTAAACGGGAACCCAACTACTCACTAGACAAGTTAACTAGGCACTGACTTAGTAAAAATCATGTACTTACAAAGCTACCCTCGCTATTTTAATAATTTTTCAGTTTAGACTCTATATAAGACAATTTTTTATTTTAATTGGACATTGTAGGGTGAAACTAAAAAAAAAAAGATTAGTTGGGGAGGATGTTAAAAATGTGGAGGAATATTTTTATAATTATGAGGACTTTTTATACACATGAGCCTTGAGCCAGTGCTTTGGTAGGTTCCAATTTAACAGAGACTAACGAATTTTGAGAGGTAAGGACCCAATAAGGAAAAAATCTATACCTCACAGTCACAGGTCATGATAAGAAAATCTATACTTCAGGGCCATGATATATAGGAAAAGCATCATAGTTTATGGGCCAAAAATACTATTAACTCTATTTAAGTACAACAAATTAATGTCAACATCTAATTGTTTATACTTGAATTCAATAAATAATATCAGAATTTAAATGTTCATACTTAAATCAAACATATGACATCAACATTCAAATATTCATACTTAGAATTCACAATCAAACATAAAAAAATAAAAAATAAAACCATCCATTATCATCTATATTACTCCAACGACTTGAGTAATGTTAAAATCAATTTTGTGAATCACATCATAGTTAAAGTAACATTCTTCAAACCATGAAACCAAATATTAATTGTTATAAGTTCATTATTACAAGAAGAATGCATTGACTTTTAAACTCATAATACAAAATTTTATAATATGTTACTACGCGTTGAACCTCCATCGCGTGCGACATATTCTGCACGTTAACTCTCTGAATGACCACCTGCGGATTAACAAAAAAACAAATATTAGAAAATGATAGAGGGAAACACCGACAACGAGCATCTCGAAAGGTAAAAGCTCCGTAACAAATGGGTCAAGAATATATTGACTAATCGCACGATGATGATATATAACACTTATAAATTCTTTTCCAAGCTACTTGCGTAACAAGTATTGCATCGCCTGAAGAATATTTTCAAAATAAAAAAGGGTAACATAGCAATCTCAAATTCTCAATGCAGGATTTATAAGAATCATATGGGAATACTTTGAAACTATACAACTAATACAAGACATATCATCACCTTCTCTCAGACAATTACACTATTAGGTTATCCTTCCAAAAAATATTTAAAAAAAAATGAGTGTCAAAATATAACATATTCATCTATTGGGAAACCACACAACCAGGACATGTTACTTACTATTTCATATCATTCATGAAAGAATTTCATTTCACCCATGTTTGGTGAGTTACTAACGGTCAAATGAATATTGACGAACTCAAATACCAAGCCAAAATTGTCCATTATTGTGAAACTTGAAAACGTTGTTTTTCGTTTTATAGAAAGTTGGGTCACAATTATCCTTTTATGCAAGATTCAATTCAGAAATTAACCTTCCTTCCACAACAAGAAATGATATCAGGTGTTTTTAGTTGTTAATTAATCATAGATTCACAAATATTATTAACACACTTATAACTTATTCTCCACCTAATTCGCAACGCATGTGCGTGGCAGAAGAGCAACAATGAAGAATTACTGGCTACTTATCCTAATCTTTCTCGCCGCCGCCCTTAAATCCCTCCTCATCCTTCACTCCGGTGGGAAAAACCGCCGCCGCCTTCCTCCGGACCCCTCCGCTTTCCCTCTCATCGAAAACCTCACATTGCTCCACCGATCACTGTCGGACCTGGAGCGCGTCCTCCGCACCTTCCGTCCCAAATTCGGCCCCATTATCGCCCTCAGACTCGGCCCTCACCTCGCAATCCTCGTTGTCGACCGCGACCTCGCCCACCAGGCCTGGATCCATGGCGGCGCCGTCTTCGCCGACCGACCGCCGGCTCCGGTGCTCTCCCAGATCACTTCCAACAACCAGCACATCATCAGCAGCTCTTTCTATGATCCCACCTGGCGCCTCCTGCGCCGCAACTTGACCTCCAAAATCCTCCACCCATCGCGTGTGAAGTCCTACTACCACGCGTGCGAGTGGGTGCTCAACGTCCTCAATACCCGACGATTATGTTATCGCGTATGTGGACACGCTCTTCGATTTGGAATTGCCGGAGGAGAAGCGAAAGATGACAAAGCCGGAGATGATGACCCTGTGCAGCGAGTTCCTAATCGGCGGGACGGACACCACTTCCACCGCCTTGCAATGGATCATGGAAAATCTGGTCAAGCATCCGGAGATACAGAACAAGGTGTTAGACGAAATGAAATCCCTAATCAACGACACACGACAAGGAGAAATTAGAGAAGAAGATCTGAGTAAGCTACCGTATCTAAAGGCGGTGGTGCTAGAAGGGCTCCGGCGCCACCCGTCGGGGCATTTTGTGTTGTCGTATGCGGTGACAGAGGAGGAGGAGGAGGCGGAGCTGGGCGGTTATGCGGTGCCAAAGAAAGGTCATGGTGTCGGAGATGGGTTGGGATCCGAGAGTGTGGGAGGAACTGATGTTGTTTAAGCTGGAGAAGTTTGTTGGGGAGGCGTTTGACATAACGGGAACCAAAGGGATCAAAATGATGTCGTTCAGGGCTAGGAGGCGGATGTGTCCCGCGTTTGGGTTGGCGCTGCTGCATTTGGAGTATTTTGTGGCAAATTTGGTTTGGGGCTTTGAGTGGAAAGGTGTGGGAGGTGAGGAGGTGGATCTCTTGGAGAAGACGGAGTTTAGTGTTGTGATAAAGAATCCTTTGCGGGCCTACGTGATCCCCAAATTTGGGGTCCGCCCCAATTAATCAAAGTTTGAAGTTGATTAATTGTATAAGTGGGGTCAGCAATATGGATTCTGAAGGTGGGGTCCTGAGAATGTATGTTTTGAGTTCAAGTTGTCGCGGTATTGACGTGACAATGGTTTAGTTTAATAAAACGCATTACGACCCCGGTGGCCTATTAGACCACCTTTACTGTTGCTCCAATTCAACAATCATACTCATGTGATCATGCCCCTTAAGTGTGGTTCAAAGATTCAAAAGTTCATGTGGTTCAAATTTTGAGTCCAAATTTGGACTAGAAGACGTATGCTAATTTAGCTCACAGCGGTGATGTGTAAATCCATATGAAAGCTATTTAGAAAACAAGATCTAGAGGTTATCATTATTAGAGTATTGTTCAAGTATGCATATATAATAGTAAAAATAGTATACTCCAAGTGATCTACCGCTAGATGTACTTCGATGAGTTCTGATAGATCTCGACGGTCAATTATTGTTTTTCGTTAAATTGAACTTCATGTTTAAGTTTAGATAATCGAGGTCTGGGTTTATCAATTAGAGGTTAGGATATAGTATCATACCCTAACTCAATTAAATTTTGGAATTGATATTCGTTGCCCTAAAAAATGCTATTCTTCGTCCTAACTCTTAATTAATTTACCATAATGTCCCTCGTTTATTTTTTGTCTTACAAACACAAACTTTCAAACAAATACACACAACCCACACCAAACCCCCCTTTACTCGTCGCCTTTATTGAACTTGATGACAAAAGGATGCTCAGGATGCTATTCATGAGCTAGATTTATCAATTTTTATGTTTACTGAAGTGGTTGTTTACTTGTTTTCACTTGTTGCTTCACGTGGTGGAAGACGAAGCCCTAGTCCGAGATACAGAAGGGGTCCCGTTTATGGCTGAAGCCCAAAGGTTACATTTGGAATATATTCTTGCATCTTCTCCTAACTTTTGTCGACCTATATGAGTTGTTACTCTGAATTATGCTGCTCTGTGGCAGGAGTTACAGTCCTCGTGGTAGAAGATCTCACAGACGCTGGAAACAGAGCATCAATGGTTGTGGGACTGGCAGTGGCGGCAACCGGAATCCTATTGGTGGGTGATGCACAAGGAGCAGTACCGACGGATGAGGGTGGGGGAGTGGGTTGAGATGTGAATGGAGGTGGCGGGGAGCACAATCCGTCGGAAGCTGAAACGGGTAGTGGGATCAGCGGCGGAATTGTTTTCTCCCAAGATTTGGCGGCCGGGTTTGGGTGGGGGAGGGACGTGTTGCGTTTCAAGAATTAGGGTAGAAATGGCCAAAAAAAACTCAGAGACAGCAGAGAGCTTCTATGTTGCTTTTTATATAAGCTTGTAATAATATTTACAGACAATTGCCATGTGCACATTCCGACTGGCTGTATTTAAACTTACAACAGTTCTTTTAACTACTAATCTATCTTAGAGTGAAACGGTGCGCAACACCACTTAACAGACTAGCTTCTACGTTTTATCCTGGAACGTTTCTCCAGCAAGGGGTTTCGGGTCTTCCTCTTCTTATGCAGAACAATCCTTCTCAATCTTGATTTCTCCATTTCAACGACTCTGTCACCCCCCCCCCCCCCCCCCCCCCTTCAAGCTATGGCAGGAAGGATGACTCCCAGCTTGGTCAATAGTTCTTTGAGTTGTGTTTGCTCCAGCCCTTTAGTGAATATGTCTGCTAGTTGATTGACTTTTCTCACATGCTCCAGCTTGATCAAACCTGACTTGATCCTCTCTCTTGTGACATGTATGTCAATGTCTATATGTTTTGTCCTTTCATGGAAAACAAGATTCTCAGCGATGTGTATGGCTAACCTGTTATCATAGAAAACAGTAATTGGTAAGGGTACTTTGACACTTAGCTCTTCCAGCAAACCCTTCAGCCATTAGATCTCACATACTGTTGTTGCCAATACCCTGTACTCAGCCTCAGATGAGGACCTGGAAACATTGGTTTGCTTTTTTGGTTTTCCATGTAAGGAGTGATTTCCCAGAAAGGTACAATAGCCAGTTATTGACCTTATAGTGTCTGGACTACTTGCCCAGTCAGAATCACAGAAACCTATTAGTTTCAACTCAGCATTACTGTCAAAGTGAATCCCTTGACCTGGTGCACTCTTCAAGTACCTTATAACTCTGTAGGCTTCTTAAAGGTGTTCTTCATGTGGCTTCTTTTGGAACTGACATACCTATTGAACAACAAATGCCAAATATAGTCTTGTGGTTGTGATGTAGTGCAGTCTCCCCGCCAGCCTTCTGTACTGTTCTGAGTCAGCTAATGGGTTTCCTTGTGTTGCTGAAAGCTTCTCGGCTTCACCTTGTAATCAACTGGTGTTTGACACCCTTTATTTAGAATCTAGGTAACTTGTTTCTTTCAGTAACTCTAGGCAATATTTTCTTTGACATACACTTATTCCACTTGTTGTCCTGATGATTTTCAATCCCAGGAAATACTTCAAACGACCCAGCAGCTTCATTTTGAATTTCTTGACTTATAGCCTTCTTCACCTGTTCTATATCTTTCAGAGCATCTCCCCCTACTATTATGTACTCTACATAGATCAACAATACAACAATTCTACCTCTAATCCACTTAGTGTATAAGGAGTAGTCTGAGGCAGATTGGCTGAAACCACTCTTTAGGAGAAAGCTGCTCAGCCTGGTAAACCATTGCCTAGAAGGTTGCTTCAATCTATAGAGAGACTTCTTTAGTCTACAAACCATTCTTTGTGGTCCAGATATCTCCAAATCCAACCCTGGTGGCAACTGCATATAAACTTCTTCATTAACTCTCCATGCAGAAATGCATTGGAGACATCTATTTGTTCCAATGTCTAATTCATGACTACTGCAATTGCTAACAAGGCCTTGACCGAGTTGATCTTGGCAACTGGGGAAAAGATATCTAGGAAATCAATTCCATATACCTGTGTAAATCCCTTTGCCACCAATCTCGATTTGAATCTCTCAAGAGAGCCATCTGGCTTGAGTTTGATATTGTAAACTCATTTATTTCCAATAACTTACTTTCCTTCAGGTAATGGAACTATGTCCCAGGTCTTATTGGCTTCTAATGACTCCCATTCTTCTCTCATAGCCTTTCTCCAATGTTCATACTTGATGGCTTCTTGATAAGTGAGTGGCTCTTCCTGATAGATAATGCTCAGTGCATATTTCCTATCGGTAGAGTTCAAATGATCCACGTTCAATGCTATTGGATATCTACTAATAGCTTCATTCTGTCCAGATGATCCAATAGCACCAAACTGTAAGCTTGGGTCCAATTCACAATTATTGTAATTGCTAGGCAAATGATAGTTCTTCTTAGTCCTTGATGGTGGTTCATAATCTTGTTGAGGTTCCAGTTCTGGTTCAAACTCAATTACTTCAGGTGAGCAGGAATTGTCCAGGACACCCTCCTCATCAGTTGAGATTGGATCAGGAGACAAAGGAGGCTGATTGACTGGAGTAGAAGTGTTGGGAATGACTAGATCAGGTGCAGAAAGAGAATCAACAGGAGTAGGATCAGACATAGGAGGTGTAGGAGACTGGCTATTCTCAATTCTAAAGGGTAGGATTGACTCATAGAAAACCACATCCCTTGAGATCAAAACCTGATTGGTATGAATAGCCAGTAATTTGTAACCCTTGATCCCTGAAGGAATGCCTAGCATCAGACACTGTCTGGACCTGGGGGGAAATTTAGTTCTGTCGTATATGGGTATTCCAACATAAACTAAGCTACCAAATACTCTTAGGTTTTCAAGGAATAGTGGTTGTAACAAACTAAGCCTATCATTGCTAGGATGTCCTAATCTCCAATGCCACATATATACTTGTTGAGGGTTGGAATTGAAAATAATTGCAACTTGGCTTTGATGTGAAGCAAGATGGCCATTGGTCTGGGAGGAGAAGGTAAGCTGGTAGAGGCCTTTAATTTCTTTTGCTAAACCAATCGTCCTCTTGATTAGAAGGTCCAGAATGTGGCAAATATCATAGTAAAAGTGTAAGGAGATGAGAAAGTCATGTGTAAGTCGACTCACTGAAACTAGATTGAATGAGAAACTGGGAACTAGTAGGATATTGTATAGATATAAACCAAAGGGTAGTTTTACAGTGCCCACTTGACTCACTACAACCTTAGAACAGTTTGGGAGATGAACAAAAATATCTTGTACTTGCCTATGTTCAGTAAACAAGTCTAGTGAACAATCAATATGGTCTGATGCCCCAACATCTAGTATCCAGAAGCTATCATGTTTAGAATTAGTATATCCCATAATTGATGACAAAACGTATTTACCCAAATAGTTAGGAAATAGAGATAGATACTGTGAGACAGAATAGGCATGGTGGTGAATAGAGGGTGAGGTTGGTGGTGATGGTGAGGAAGAAGGCGTGGTAGGGACTGGATTGTTAGCACCACACTGAAATAAGAATCTCAGCTTGTTCATCTCTTGTGCAGTGAAACTTGGGGAAGAGTGACTTACAATGCTGCCTTTATTGTGATAACTAACCTCTAAAGTAGTCTCATTCCACTTGAATTGCCTAGTGAAACTGAGTCTACAAACTTTTGAGATCAAGTATCAGAGCTACCTCCTTGCTCCTACTCTCTACTCTTCCTCTTGTAAGTCCAACACTCTTCAATATTGTGATTGGTCTTTTTGAAAAACTTGCAGTATTTCTTGCCTTGACCTTTATCATCAGTGTTCTTATTGACTTCTGTTTGCACGGCTAAAGCCACAATCTGAGACTTCTTTGAACCACCTGATAGGTTTGCTTTCAGTTCTTGCTCATGTTGTAGAAGGTCATCCACTGCATCAACAACATTGGATAGTGGCTTCAACAACAACAGTTGCTTATTGACCCCTTCAAACTCTGGGTCCATACCTCGAAGGAACCTAATTAGGTAGTATGTTTCTTGCTTCCGATAATAAGCTACCAATGGATTAAAAGGGTTTGGATTTGCTGGAACACACTTGCATTC